TTATAGCCTCAAAGTTGAAATCAAGCAGAAACAATGAAGAACTTAATGTTTTACAGGAAAATATTGTCTGGGTCAATTTTTCTGCTTTTCTCTAAAAAACATAATTGCTTGTGCATCTTTTCTCACTGAAAAAATGAAGACATTAATGATAGAAATATTTAGTGACATTTTCTGCTTCTCAGATCAAAACAAATAGAATGACAAGTAGCGAGCGCTCATCATTCTGATTCATTTATCCTTTGACTAGAAAAGAATTGCCCGTATGAAATTTTTTCTACAGAATAAAATAATTATCTTTCTTGTTCACATTACATTCTGAAGAACATTCTCAACAAGCAGCAGCAGGCTAGTACTACGACAGTTCTGACGACCATCGTTGTTGTTGCAAGGCAAGAGATAAATGAGACACATTCCCAATTCTTAAATTCTTATTTCTAATCACTCGTACTATGTCTTGACGTGTACGTTTGTCTGCTCGCTAATAACTTGTGTCTACGCCCTAACACAGTGGGGGACCTGTCTAAAATATGCTGTAAATTTATCTCTGATTTGATGTGTAAGCTTCCTAATATAATGTAATGCTGAAAGGTTTTCACAAGACCCTCAAAAGATCCCAAAAGATCAAGTACTATTTCTAAATTGAAGACAATGTTCACACCTTCCTTCGATCGGCGTTCGCAACCGGGGTACCTGAGAAATATTATAAACTTCTCTCATAGCGCACCATCTAATATCAAGGTAAAACGTATTCTGGATACCTTTTGAAGATGCCAAGGATCCTGGAAGGATCACTAACCGATTCGCCACGACAGACTACCTATATTCTGAAAGTTTTGTTCTGCCCTAAATCTCTTTGGTGTTATCAAACGTGGCTGATTTCTAGCAACGTCCACCTCCGAACTACAGGCAAAGGTTTGCTTAGCTTTTCTTTCTGTGCATCAGTAGATATTTCGGCCATCTCTCTGAATATTTTCTCTGTCGTAGTTAAAACAGAATTTTCTGTATTTGCTTTCTTGTGATTGGCTTATATATACAGTATCTCATAGCCATTTTTCCATATTTCCACATACATACCCACAACCACTTTGTAAGCCGCTAGACTAAAGTCAATGGAATGGTAGAATACCTCCTCATTTTCATGAAATGAAGTTCAGAAGAAGTTTTCGACTAATATAATCGATCCTAGAGGCCGCTCAAAACTATTTTCCGGCTCCCATAGTCGAAATAGTAAATTGAGATGAGAAAATGTGCTTATTTCGTATGCAAAAGTTATGGAAAGCCGAAAAAACAGTAAAAGAAGCCGTCCTTTCAAGAGTAAGTCTGAAAAAACGTGCCTTTTAAATAAAAAAATAAACAATTCTTCGACAAGTGATTTCCTCTTTTATACACTGCTCTAATACGGTCGGAATGACTTCGTGAGAAAGCTAGAATTAAAGCTTCAAAGTTCAGAAGTCGGATTATCCATATGAAAAAATGGCTATCACAAAATTTTGATTAACTCACTTTGAACTTTTGCATAACTCACAGGTGGCGCCACCATAACGGCGCGACTTGTAATGGCTTCTCACATAAATTGCATCAGGGATTAACCTTTGTTTTGTGATAACCATTTTTTTATATGAACAATCTGATTTCTACACTTCGAAGCTTTAATTCTGCCCTTCTCATGAAGTCATTATTGCCATATGGATCCGCGTAACTCCACTTACCCCAACCCAACTTTCGAAAGTACGCTTAAGCGAAGCTGCGAGTGCAAATCTTGTCATCAAACTAACTAAATTTCTATAAACATAAAGCTCAAGGTATAAACGCATTGACAGTAAATGGAAAGGCTTCCTCCTGACCCTAATCTTCTAAATCAGCACCGCTTCTTTAGAATTCGGAATATCATACTACAACTGTGCTATCAAATAATCAGAATTCAATATAAAGAAAGACCCAAAACAAATAAGTGGCTTGCACACCACATAACATCGCGAGGATAATAGATGGTGCTACGAAGCAGCTGGTGTGCTTAGTCCTATGAAAATGAAGCGTGAAAATGCTACGAAATTAAAGTGAATTTTCTGCAGCAATATACTTGTAACACTAAAGGAGTCATTTGAATTAAAAATTGAGCTTTTTCCAATGTTTCAAGTATAAAACGTAGCAAAAGCAAAAAGCTGATCTAAAGAGATTTTAACTTTACAATGATCTGCAGTTTTTCTTTAATGGAAATGAAAATGAAAAACTGGCCTCGATTATTTTGCTAATTTTTTTCATGCTTTTAAACAAACAAAGTTAAGCTTTTATTGCAGATATATTTCAATCTTCAATCGTACCGCTAAGTACTGAGTGATGAGATGATTCGATATGTCGCCTAAGTCGTACAGAATTAACTCATATCCTTTCTTAAGAGAAAGAACTTGCTGTTAAAATCTATATATCTCGAAGACAAATAACTGGAATCAGAGCGATGCATTTGATAATATTTTGAGTGTCAAGATCTCTCAACAATTACGCAGAACAGTTCTGGCATAGAATATCAGTTGTGAAAAGTACGCCCTCAAGCTAATAAATCTGTTGTAGAGCAGATGCAAAAAGTAAGGAATATGTAGAGCCTGGGTGATCCAACGGTTAAAAGTTACAAACTTCTTATAAGGCAGATGTATCTATATCTCAGAAAAAGCTATAAGTCACTTTTTTCGAAATTTCATTGTCAGACTGACATGCACTTAACGAACTTTTTTTCTACCGGAACTATTGAACACAGTCTTAGTGTTTCAGTCTTGCGTCATTTTTGGTCTTCTTTAAAAATGAAATACGTCACGACGGAGATGACCTTCTTCTTCTTTTTATAAGCATTCTACTCTAGAATTAGTTTAAAACATGATTTCATGAATAAGAGCCATACCAAAGGTGGGTACATATTGAAGCAGACATTTCTGAAATTTTCAAAACACATTCACCTACTGAGTGCTGTACTTGCTTATATAAGATAAGTCTTATGCAGTCTTCTCAACGATTAGTTGTCATCGACAAGCAATCTGAATCACTCTGCTCCAATCACTGAAAAGAAGCTTGGAGAACTGTGCATTAGAGCCCTGCAGGTTAAACCTAATCTAACCTAACAGGTTTAGGTTACGATTTTTATAGGTTTGGTTGTAGGCTGCGGTATTGATAACATATTTTTAACCTAAACGAAAAAAAAACGATTTTGAACGATCACATTAAAGTCGCTAATACTTTGATTAATAAAGCGTAGTCTTATTGGGTCCGATAACTACCACGAACAATAGGCTTCTATTTCTTCGATATGTTTCTTCTAGCACCAGATATGGGTGTGCGAACATTATGATATATGTGACGTAGAAGAACGAGAAACAAAAAAGAAGTTTAAAAAGTGTTGAAAGAATAAAGGGTGAGGCTGCTGGCACTCCCGGGAGTGTCAACTAGAAGCTGCTGGCACTCCCGGGAGTGTCAACTAGAAGCTGTTGGCACTCCCAGGGAGTGTCAACAAGGTCAACGCTGATTTGTAAACTTTGCAACCGTATAATTCCCAACACACAGCGTTTTCTTTGAAAAAAAACAGGTATCATTTTTCGGAGAACAGAATATACGTGCCCTATTTGAACTTACGCCGGTGACACTGTTTTTTTATTTAACCATATCGCACTGGAGAGAAACTTGAAATAACTTATACTTCTCACGAATTAGAACTCATTTACAAACAACTAAAAAATTAAAAAAGCTTTAAAAGAACAACATTTAATTTAAAATGCTCGGCTCCGGAGAATAAACCACTTTTCCGACATACCTTTTACACTAAGTTTGCCTGGTGACGGAAATAGCTCCTAGTTGCCACTCCCGAGAGTGCTAATAGCTCCTCGTTGACACTCCCGGGAGTGCCAACAGCCATTCCGAAGAATAAAATGGTGAATGAAAACAACGCTGTACTGACTTTTTCTTCACACGGCAAAAGAGAAAAGAGAATATCTGTCATTGATAGATATATACGGCGTGCATATGCGAGAAGAGATATCTCCAATTGTGCTAGATGCCTAATACCAGATATCAGATCCTCTCTTGTCACAAGCTGTGACTTTCCCACACTTTCGTTTAGCACTAATCGCATCAGCATTCGCTGGTACTAGGCGAAAGGATGTAATTTTGATCGACAAAGTTCAGATTGAAGTTCTCTAGTTCAAACTGAACTATTTTTAAACTGAAAAATAGTCTACTCTTAAGAGGATCGCCCTACTCAGAAAACTATTTTCCAAAGATCGCATTAAAGGATAAAACACTTAACCGATTCATTTCTTCATTCATTTAAAATGTGATTTATTTTGTATAGGCTTTCTATTAGACGCTGTTTATATAGGGAACAATAACGACCTAGAAAAGAAGCTGAACTTAAGGCTTCTGAAACCAGGTTTTGGGAAAAAATTACATAGGTTATATCAGGCTAACCTAAGTTATGTTATGGAAAACATTAATAGCTTAGGTTAGGTGGAAATTATGAAGATTTGTATAGGTTAGGTTATAGATTGCCAAAAATTTGTAACCTGTACGCTCTATTGTGCATGTTGAAAACTTGGTCAAATCACCACACGTTCATAGCAACCTGAAACCTATATACCCAGATTTCGCCATGATTTGTCTTTGATATTTACACAACTTGCGTCCTTCAATAGATTAATAAACTAAGAGTGATGCTCGAGACCGCATTCTAGAACTACGTAGCAGCTCTCCAAAATCGAGTAAGCAATCGCATAAACGTGGGCGTACTCTAAAATTCCAGAATCTCCATCTTTGTTTTCTTGAGATGGTCAAAAGAAAAGCTCGGCTCAAAATTGCTTGAATTTATTATATAGTACTTTTTGTAGCCATGAAAAAATGTTTCGAAAACATCATTCCATGAGATTAAACTTCTTTTCTTCTTTTTTTCTAGATTTTCTATTACTGATATAGATTTTTGACAAGTAGTTTAAACAATAGTTTACATTCTTTTAGATAGTAGCATGAATATAAAAGACACTATCGTTGTTCATAAACATCATCCAGAACATGAGCATTCCGTTCATCAGTACGTTGTAAAAGAAAAAGGTGATTTACACGAGTTAAACAATGAATTTCGTAAACAATTGGTATTTATTGATGGCTTAGAAAAGTCAAATTATAATAAAAGGCAACAATTAATGAAATATGAAAAAACGTTTGTATATAATCCAAAAAAGAAATCAGCATATGACGATTTATTAAAACAATATCATGATCGAATTAATCAGAAAGATGGTTTAATAGTATCAATTAATCGTTGTAATTCAGATCGAGAACAATTGCTAAGACAAATTCAAGTTAGATCAACGCAAACAAATATACCTGGTCAAAATCTTCTTGAAATATTAAAACAAGAATTGGAAGGTACCATTATTGAAATGAATATATTAGAACAAACAATAAAACATGAAGATATGGATATAGTAAATACAAGAAAACATATAGAATCATTAAAATTAAAATTAACACAATTAAAAAATGAATATGATAATTATCTTTTAATTATTGCTGATATTGAAAATAATGTAAATGTATTAAATGAAAAATTATCATTTACAACACATTTACATTTAATCGAATCTAATGAAATAAAAAAATTATCGTTAAAACCAAATTTAATTGATATAAATGCATTTTTTAACGATAGAAAACAACGAATAATTCAAATATTTGAATCATTTTTTATTCCATTGTCAAGTATCGAACGTAGTATGGATATGGAATATGTAAGAGAATTTTATAATAAGAAAAAACATGATTTGATTTTAACAAAAAAAAATGTTATTGAAACAACAAATATAAATGATATTGATGATAGATATGTTAAAGATAGAAAAGTAAAATTGTTACAATTACAAGATGATAGAAGTAAATTAACATTAAAATTAAATGAACTGGAAGGAAAATATGACGATACAAAACATGCTATTGATATCAATAAACGAGCAATCCATTCATTTCAAACAAAAATTGCAAATGTTGTCAAACATAATGTATCGTTACGTTTTGAAATTGAAGCATACAGAGCTTTATTACAATATTTGGCTACATTAAACTGTCAGTCAGTCGATCAACCTAGAGAAGTTATTAGATCCAAAGTCGGACAAGGTAAGCGTAAACTTTCAAAAAATCAAGGAAAAAAAATGTAAGATCAACTGGAACAAAATGCTCCTTCCAAGGGCACGTGAGGCTTAGAATATAACTAAAGTTGTCTAGAATTGGTTGGTGTTTGAGCATTCGGGAAAATGTTTATTACCCGATAATTAAGAATGACTTAGAGTCTCGTTTTATAGAGAAATGTTTGTTCTACAAAACTTTTCAAATTAACTACATTGAAAATACGAGTATTGAGAAACACAGAAACTGCTGGGGGAACAGTTTCACTCATTTTAGACAAAAGGTACTTTTGACAAATTAACCTTATTCTTTTTTTGAATCAGTGAATTTTGTAGAGCAAACATTTCTTTACAAAATGAGATTTTCCGCAACTCTGAGCGACTCTTAGTTACCGGGCAACAAACGTTTTTCCGCATCTCCAAACACCAGTACATATCTAATTCTCAGGTCTTCCACAAAAGTTCATTTAGAGTAATGTATCGAGAACGTAACGAACTTTCCAAAGATGCTTGTTAAAATCGAAATATCCATGTATTCCATAGGCGTAGTCTACAATCATGTTTGAAAGAAGAAGGCGGTTTGTCTAGCTACCGGTGTCCTTTTTTTCTCTCTTTCTCAAAAGATTATTGCAGTAAAGCTACAAACTAATCTAAAATTGCAGTTAAGTACATTAAACATTTCTCTACAAAATGAAAAGTATCTTGGCTCTGAATGTTGATTAGTTATGAAAATACAACTGTCGTACAGACAGCCCCAAAAATCGATTTTGGTTCGATGTACTTAACTATGTAGTTGCAATTTTAGATTAGTTTGTAGCTTTACTGCAATAATCTTTTGAAAAAGAGCGAAAAAAGGATACCGGTAGCTGAACTAGCCGAAGGGCTAGTCAAAAGTTCGAATTTTTACAAAAACCGATATAAATCAGCATTTAAATTGTATATTGTTGAAAAAGTTCTCTAACTGGCAGGATGCTGAAGAAAAGATTTTACAGTGCAGTTTTCTTACTTAACCAAATAATCTGTCTGTGTCTATTCTGAAATCACAGAGATCACGTTCGAAGCAAAAAAATAACCAACGATCTACAAAAGCAAGTCTGCTTCTTTCTTCTGCATGACTCTGATAGGTAACCGTTGTGAAAAACATTAAACATTTGATTGATTTTTTTCATATAATTTCTGTATTCTCATTCCATCATGCGTAGGCTGTAACTACGAAGAAGAAAGTAAAAATGGTAAAGCTGTTGTACATTTTGCATGTTCTAAAATTGGTAATAATGTACAATCGGAAACAGTAAGACATACGATTCGAGAAGAAGAGTTCGACAGAAGAAGATTATCGTGGAGATGGAAGGAATTTCTGACTGTTTTAAAAACATTTTTATTAGTAAATAGAGAAAAAACTGCAATACAAGATTCATTCAGAATTTTGACAAAAAAACGCAATGATCGAATTGGTATGGATGAACTATTAACTTATTCATATAGACAACTGAGAAAAAAAATCGATGTTTTTACCTTCTCCCCTTTTCCTTACAATGTATGACGGATATCGTAACACCTTTCTCCTCCTCCATCCATTCTAAAGCTGTACGTTCTATCACGAATAATCAGTAGCAGGTATGACTCATGTATCAATGTAGTCTTGTTTTTGCTGATTGTATGTGAATATTAATCTTTTAGAATTCGTGCGTATAATTCGTCCGAATGTTACGGATACCAATATTAAATATTATATTAATCAGGGAGATGCCGATACAAACTCATACTTAAATTTTGAAGAATTTGAGTCAATGATAACACGTGGAACTGGTATTCTCATTGCGACTGGACAACTTTAAATTTTGCAATCCATGAGAAATTTGTGTTGTGAACAGAAAGTCTTTTTCGAATACATTACTTGATCCAATATATTCAGTTTTCTTCAGGAATACTTAGGATGAGATTAGATAAAACCGAAAATGTTCCTTGGTTTTTAATAAAACAATAATTCAGCTGATCTTCCACGGCTGTCGAAGGATAATATGACGAAGGTGGAGCGCAGATGAGGTCTAGAACTTCTGTCATTAGAAATCACCCTCTAAAACCAGCAGAGATGCTTAATTCACTCACGGAATCGCATATATCATTACAGTTAACTAAAATTCTTCTTCGCAACAATCAACATGAATATCGTGCAGTATTTTGATAATGAATCAATGCAAGCCGACAGATTCTTCTCGTTCTCGTCTGGGTAAGACCTTGTTACGAAGAGAAAAGAAATACTACTTAAAGTAGAGTACAGCTGCAGACAAGATTGATTAAGTATTAGAAATTGGTTCAGCAAAGCTTTTTATTACTGTGCGCTTTCTTAATTGCATTTTTGAATGGTTATAATGTACCTTTATCGTAGAAGATATGGTGGAAGGGATGGTCCGTTGTTTTTCACCCACACCCTTCTACGAGTAGCCAAGTAGAAGAGAAAACTTTGCGAATGCAATTTCTCACGGAAAAAAGTTACTAAAGAATTATTGTTTTATCAACAGATAGAGTAGAGTCTATACTACAGTTGGGCATAAGAACACACTTTCGAACTGGACACTTGATATTGAAAAGAATTTTTTCTAAAATTAGTCATGTTTTGAGAAGCGAACAATTAACCATACACTTGCTTGTCTCTAATTTTCTAGATGTTTCCCGGATAGATGAACCTTTTATTCTTATAGCATTCGAAAGAGAATTTAATGCGCTACACGTTGACAACAAATGATTGAAAAAAGATCTTTCTAGAGCTCTAGAGATAAAATTTAGAAATGTCCTCTCGAGACTTAAAAAAGGTTGAATTTCACCATCTAAAACCAAACAAAAGCTTAATTCCAATACACCATTCGATAGAGGGAGGAAAACTGCATATATCAAGTGTATTTGAGGAAAATGTTTTAGGCTAATCTTAGTCGGAGAAAACATCTCTTAAAATGTTTAACTGGAGACTTGGTTATAAACGACTGTTTTCAAACCGGAAACGAAAAGTAAAATTTTTTTGAAAGACAGGCATATAGAGAAAAGAATTCGCCGCAAGATAAGACTGTTCTCTCTTTGCACACAACTATTGCAAACGAGTTGTGAATCGCTCATTTCTAACTAAGGAAAAGGAAGCCATATTTCCAACAAGTTTGGGCATCCAGCAATAATTGTTTAGCAACTTTCTTCCATGGGAAGTTTTCCTCTTAAAGAATAACTTAGGCATCAACCGAAAAGCCAAAAGGGCACTGAAGATCTTATCTATCATACAATGACTGTCTTTAAAAACAGTGATATGTCAAGTAACTGATATTCGAACAGTCCTAGTTTCATATTCTGATTGATTTTCCGATTCAGCTTTGTTAAATTTTATTTAAAAAAGTTTTATCGTTTTATCTTTGGTTCTGAACATTTTGCCACATGGATAATTTCAACGTGTTCTACAATTTGGCGGTGCCAAAATATGTTCAGCTGGAAATTCATGGCGGATCTTCGGTCACCCGGATTTCAGAGATCCATCCTCGAAAGGCCTAGCAGCAGAAACGGATATCAGATTCGTGATCAGCATCAAAGATTACCCACAATCGTGTATGTTTTAACGAAAAAGCGATTGGACGCTTGGGAAGTCTCCCTCGTTAGAGTAGAATAATTTTTCTATCACATCAGGACGGAGCAAGTTCAGTAGCTCTGTTTCTATTTCTGTATTAAGGCAAAAGAGCCAAATTTTATTTTTTTCGATACGTTTTACTTAAACTGCGTTTTGTGTCATAAATACATGTTTGGAGCATACGTATGATACACGAAAAGAAAGGCAACACTTTGGAATAAACGAAAATACATTTTGATTCCACTTTGACGTATGACACTGTGTTCAAAATACATTTATTTTCGTTGTGTTTTGGGTTAGAAAGTGATCGAGATGGCAGTATTTCTTCTATATTCATTTATTTTTACAGTATATAGAAAAATGTCCGATATGCGTCTTTTTTTGTAAAAAATGAATTACTGAATCTTTTAAAAGTAAGTGTAAGTGTACGCGATCAAGAATGAAAAAGTTATTCGAAAAATACGGAAAGTGCAATTTTTTCTGAAGAACCCGTTAAGATAAATTTTCTTCTGTAGAAAGCCTACACCATCCGATTAAATATGCTCTGTTTGAACAGTTATGGTGAACATTTTTATATCACATAATTATAAAACATAAATAAAGCAACAAAGATGAAAAGAAGATTATGCTAATGCTTTGAGACTTTAAATCGGTTGGATTTTCAATTTAAGCTTTGAAAACCATTACAGATATATTTTCTTGACGCATTTTGTTTCAGTTTTTCAATAGAAAACGATTAACTATATACGCTCTTCTTCATTCATTCTTAATTATCTACTTGTCCATCTTACTTAACTACGTCACCCTAGAAGAATAGATTTGATTTTTAGTACTTTCTGTTCTTTTTTTAGTTGTATCTACGTCATTTCTTGTTATAAGTTATA